GTGGATTGTTCGCGTTTATGGTTGTCATGTTGGGCGTCGGTGCCGCACACCCGCCCAGGTATCAATCCGTCGCGGCGGAAGCTTGTGCATGAACTCAAGAGTATGACACCTGAGCAGCGGCACCGATATATTCGGGGACCTCAAGGTACAGTTGTCGCACATCTCCTTGAGGCAGGATGGGACCTCATCAGCCCATCAGAGTGGCAAGTTCCGTCGGATGGCACAGGCATGGTCAACAGCTGGGAGTTTCGTGTCGAGAACCTCACGGGCGTCAGCAATATCGACATCCCGCATCAGTTTTTTCTCTGAGTTCACGTACACGGTTCAGAGACAGTTGTGGTTTGCAGCTTCGTCCCACTTCGACGGTGCAGGGATGGGGCAGGGCACCCACAACGCATCATATCGTCCGCTACTCCGCCAGTTGGAGGCCGCCCCAGGTGGGCGACGCTTGGCTGGCTTGTTGTTGGCGCCGGCTGCAGGTGCTGCATGGCCACGGACGCGACGGCAACAGAGATCCAAGCAGAGTGTCTCCGAGTGGTGCACGCGCTGCAAGGAGTGCAAGGAGACCTCGTTCCATCGAGTTTGGGAATGTTCAGGTCGCAAATCTCATGAGATCTACACCCTGTCTGATGAACACGCAGCCAAACCACAAGCAGGTCGTGAGGCCGAGGCGTGCTGCTGGGTGCGAGGTCTGATTCCCGAGCTGTGGCTGGACATCGCAGAGCCGATCCAGACGGAGGACTGGACGTGCCACGGCATCAGCGACTTCCAGGAGGCATGTTGCCCGAGAGAGTTCAGAGGATTCGCCCACCTACATCTTCGGCGACGCCAGCGGGGGTGCAGACACCCGCGACGCAGCCCTCCGTCGCGTCGGTCTGGCGGTGGCAGTTTTCTCCGACCTCACCAGCGATATGATGATCGAGATCGGCATATGGGGAGGACTCCCTGGAGCTGTCCAGACGGTGGCGAGGGGCGAGCTGCACGCCCTGTATCTCACGGTGCGGGGCGGATGCGGCCACGTGGTCTTCATCGCGGACAATGCCGCAGTATGCTCAGGCTGGTACAACGGCCTCCCCGCCGCCCCAACTGGTGAAAATGCAGACCTCTGGTTTCTCATCGGTTCTGTCTTGAAAGCTAGGAGTTGTCAGTTGTCGATCACTGTTTTTGTTCACTCACATCAGGAAGATATAGACATGTGCAATACTAGATCGCCCGTGCCTTTCATTCTCGGTAATGCAGTTGCTGACGAACTTGCTGGCATCGCAGCGAATTCAGTACGAGTGAATGCCGACGCACGCGCGCGTATATTTCGTATCGAGCACATGGCATATTTTGTCCGCATGCGAATATTGTTGAGTACTTTGGACGCGATAGAAGCTGAGAAAGATCAAGAAGGGTCGAGGCCCCGTCTGAGACACCCTAGTCCTAGGCCGCCTGCCCCAATGATGTGCAGCGTGTTCAGTTCTCAGCACCAGCTGTCTGAGTCAGGCCTTAGTTGTAATCAATGCAAGGGGTCCACCTCACAGGCCCATAAGAAGGCTTGGCTGGACTCTCCTTGTTTCCCCCTTTCCACGGGCGATGGTGCAGTTTGGGACCCCCCTCCAGGGCAGCGGGTGCACGTGGGGGGGGGATACGCTCATCCGTCTCATAGCCTCAAATATCATGCTGGGCTGGGGGTTTGGTTTTGTGCAACCTGTGGGAGCTTCGCAGCTGAACAGTTAGCTAAGCTTCCCAAGGAGTGCGAACCCAAGCGTAGTCGTCAGGACTACCTTAATCGAACTCAACAGTGTTTATGGCCCAAGCAATATAGCAAAGCTGAGCGTGTCAAGCGTGCCGCAGCGGGTAAACCCGTTTAAGTTTGCTGTTTGGGCCTTTTAAGCAACCGACATTGTCGCAATATCCGTAACTCCGTAACTCCTCCTCCACCTCCTCCTCCTCCTCCTCCTCCCCCTCCTCCTCCCCCTCCTCCTCCTCCTCCTCCTCCTCCTCCTCCTCCCCCTGCTCCTTCTCCTGCGTCTCCTCCTCCTCCTCCTCCTCCTCCTCCTCCTCCTCCTCCTCCTCCCCCTCCTCCGGCTTTCCTTCGGTAGCAAATCATGGGAGCCTGGCGTACTCTTTCAATTCCGTCTTCAGGGTCGATTCGCGTCCGGGAGTCGCTGAGATAGCGCCGATCTAGCGTCGGCTAGCGTCGACCAGCGTCGATTGAGCGTCGATTAGCGTCGATTGAGCGTCGACCCGCGCCGATTCGCAAGAGCCGACAAGATGGTATGGGAGGCTCCCACCTTGCCACCGAAAGCTTCGAATTGCCGTCAGGGCGGGCCGGACGAAACGCCCGGCCCGCCCTGACGGCACGCCTGGTGGTGCGACAGGGAGGAGCCTTCTACGACGCAGAAGGATAGAGATGCGGGGGGGGGGGGGAGGGAGGAGGAGGAGGAGGAGGAGGAAGAGCGAGGAGGAAGAGCGAGGGGAAAGGGGAAGCGAGGAGGAGAAGGAGGAGGAAAGGGATAACCCTAAGAAAGCCCCCCCCCCTCCCCGGCGAAAGTGTAACGCTCCAGCACCCTGGAAGCGTTACACTGGCACCTCGCAGCCTGCTTTGAACGCAGACGAGTCTGCCCGCCGAAACAAGCAAGTCCCATGGGGGAGTCCTATGGGGGAGTTCTGTGGGGGAGTCCTACGGGGAGTCCTATTGGGGGAGTCCTATGGAGGAGACCTATGGGGGACTCCTATGGGGGAGTCCTGGGGGGAAGTCCTATCAGGGAGTCCTATGGGGGAGTCCTATGAGCCATTCCCAATGGGATACCGCCCGAGACACGGCGCGGGAATTATTGATTTTCCTTTCTTTCGCGCGGAGCTAAAGATACCGTTCCGTTTATAGTTATTTAATTACGGTGCGGTGCTAACGATAACCCCGGGGGGCTCTCAGTTGCTTACTGAGGTTACATATTAGAGAGTAAGGGAGGGTGAAGGGAAAGAGCGAGAAGATGGGCAGAGGGGAATGACGATGAGGAGGAGCGGTGGGCAGGCAATCGCAAGGAGAGTGAGGAGTTGGACGAGAAGAAGGCGTGATGAGAAAAGGAGAATCACGAAGAGGAGGAAGCTGAAGGTGGGGAAGAGGGCGGACGCGGCGAGGAGGAGGAGGAGGAGGAGGAGGAGGAGGATAAGTAGCACTCGGTCTTCAACCGGCAGTGGGAGCGGAGCAGCAGAAGGCAAAGGGAGAGGACTTGGACGAGCGGTAAAGCAGCCGTGGAGGGAGGCGGAAGGACCAGTGAGGAGAAACGAGAGATAGCAGGAGGAAGATGAGGACGAGGATGAGGACGAGGTGGAGCATCAGGGAGGCTGAAGAGGAGGAAAGATAAGGAGGAGGAGGAGGACCAGTGTAAACCCACGAGTCATCAACGATTTTGGAATACTCCCTCCCTCCAAGCTCCCTCTTCATAGGCCCCTACAACGGTTCATTTCCATTGAAGGAACTGCCGCTTTGGAAGACAACTGTTTGAAGCCCCTGAAGCATGCCAAAACATTGTTCTCGGGATTCCAACGCCACAGATCTACCTGACTGTTGCGTCTTGACAATCTTGAGTCGTGCCAGAACGCCATTCCCGGGACTTCAACACAGCGAATCAACATAATTGTTGCACCCACATAAACTTGAATCCTTTCAAAACACCCTCCCATGAAACTCTTGCAAATGTTTAAAAGGAATGTGCGCCGTGCTAAGGCGCCCTCAATCCGCGAAACCCTTGCAATGTTTTTAACGAATGTGTGCCGCGCTAAGGCGAGAGCCGCATGTTGAAAACGACCCTGGCTTCCCTCGGGATAGGTGTTCCACTCCGAGCCGCCTTGTTGGCGGCCTCAGGGCCCTGGGAGCCTGCGGCGAGCGGGGGGGGAAAGTGAGAAGGAGAAGGCCTCCTCAAACGGCGGAGGGACTTCTCAGAAACCCTCTCGCCTTCTGAGAAGTTGTTTGTGTCTTCCGGGAAGGCTTAGAGAACTTGTCAGCAGGCCGGGGGACTTCCGAGCCTTCTGAAAAGGCCCTCCCCTTCTCACTTCCCCCCGGGGTAACAGCCGAGGGAAGGCCTGGGGAAAGCCGAAAATGGCGAAGGACCTGCTGGAACCCTTTCCCTCGTGACCCCTTCTTGTCCTGGCGATTCTCCCTCCGCTTTCAAACATCCGCCACCTGACCTTCTCCAGGGCTGCATCGTGGCCAGAATTGCAGGGCGCCTTCTGCCGCGGCGAGGAGAGGCCCCCGGGAGGCCCACAGAGGGAAACAGAGCGTCCAGCAACAGTTGTCCACGAAGTCCGATCCCCTTTCCTTGGCAAATGTGATCCGCCACGCGATGCGAATCTGAGGATGAGGACGAGGCGATGATGGGGAGGACGGGGGCGAGGAAAAGGAAGAGGAGGAAGAGGAGGAGGAGGAGGAGGAGGAGGGGGGGGGGGGGAGGAGGAGGAGGAGGGGGGGAGGGAGCCCTGCATCACGTGACGAAAATGTTTTGCCTACGGTGGAGGCGTTCGTCACGGAATGTACCCAGGAGGCTTCATATGTTGGAGGTTTCCTTATTTGACGAGGGCGGCGGTGATATCCATCGCCGAATCCTAATTGGTATTCCACCAGCTTCCAGACCATGGATGTCGTACCCAATGGTTTTGTACCAGATGCCATCACAGTATTTCTTTCGTGGTCGGGCACCTCATCATGGTGCCAACATCGCAGAGCGGATTTCCTTCGGAAAACAATAGTATGGGCCCGGAGTGTCCTGGATATCATTCGTTCCGGATTTCGAGGTTGTTTTCGGGTGATTGTTTGTTATGGCCAGGAGCGAGGACTAAAACAAGACAATCCGCGTAACATTCGCTTCGCTCTTCGCTTGCCGCCTCGGGGTCTATCACCGACAGCAGTCCACGCAGAATTCCGCTGCAGCACGTCTGCAGGGTCGGTGCAGTGGCACCTCGTGCCGCTGACGCTGCGGGGAGAACGCCGTCTGCGGGGCCGCCCCCGCGCCCAGGAGCTCGACTACGAGAAGGAGTGCGCCAACGGCCTGCAGGTGGAGCAGGACCGCCGACCGCCCCCCGCCGCCGCCGCCGTCATCGCCGCCGCTGCCGTCGTCGTCGTCGTCGTCTTCGTCGCCGCCGCCGCCGCCGTCGTCGTCGTCTTCGTCGTCGTCGTCGTCGTCGTCGTCGTCTTCGTCTTCGTTTTCGTCTTCGTTTTCGTCGTCGTCGTCGTACCCCGCCACCAGAAAGCCGGAGGTTGATAGAACCCCCAGTCTGCCAAGTCGACGAGCACGTTGCCCTCTCCCTGGTTCTCGGGAGGGCGCCGCGGCCGCAATGTGTGTCTGCGGCCTGCGCCTGCGTGGTCCGGACCTGGGCCGTGTTCGGTCGGGGGCGTCTCGCAACAGGGCTCTCTGCGCACCCCGAGAGGAGGAGATCCAGCAGCGCCGGCAGGAGCGGAAGCAACTGGGGAGGCCGGGCGAGAGGAGGGAGAAGCGGGGAGGCAGGGAGGCGATGGAGTCAGGGGCCACGCAGGAGCAGGTGGCAGCAGGGAGGGGGCACGAGCGAGGAGGGCAAGAGGAGGAAGGGACGGGCGAGGCGGGAGCGGGGACGAACGAGGAGGGAGAAGGGAGGGGGGAGGGGGGGCGATGACGGAGGGAGGGGCGACGAGGCGCCTCGGTGGGCACCCCCGGGCTGTGCGGCGCGCCGCGGGATGTCGGCCGGCACGCCTGGCCGCCCTGGCGGACCACGGGCCTCTCATGGGTCTGGTGCCGGGGTCTTTTTTTGGTCGGTTAGAAATTAATTTCTCGAAACAAGTCGCTAGAGCTCTAGCATTTTTCCCCCATCTTCGATCTTATTCCCGCTCGCCATCTTAATATCAGGTCGATCGGGTGGACGTTACTATGAAAAAGCACTCGGGCGGGATCGGAGGTTCAGGCAGGGAATCACCGAGCGCGTTCCGCTACTCGCAGGGTGCCTACTCCTGGGTATAGCCAGGACCCCAGGCAAGGAGCCTCCAAATCGGCCAGAATCGCTCGCTAAACCAGGTCTGCCGTAGTTGGTGCTTTTTCGGGTGACGGCAGTTCCGGTCAGTGGAAGGGGGCGGGGGGGGCGCCCCCCAGCACACATCACTAAACCAGGTCCCATGAAACCCAGTTCTGCCAACGCCCGATACTCGGAAACGTCCGACAAGAACATATGTTTGCTTCGATGTAATGCATCGTCAATCCCCCGCGGCGGATCCAAGCCATTGGCGAGTAGTTACTGTGCGAGTAGTGGAACGCGCCTGTCTGGAGAAGAAGGAGGAGGAGGAGGAAGAGGAGGAGGAGGAGGAGGAGGAGGAGGATGGGGATGGACAAGGGATTGGGGGAGGAGGGGGGAGGAAGGAGAGACTAGGGGCACAAACTAGGCGTGCTCGCGCCATATCTGATACCCCATCCCTCCCACCACTCCCTTTCCCATTGGGTTATATTTGTTTTGCATCCGCCGACGGGCAACGGTCAAGATGGTGGTGTGGCCCTACTAGCGCTAGATTGGAAAAAGGCTTTCGACTCTATCAACGTGGGAGCCCTCCTCGAAGCACTTGCTGCATTCGGTGTTCCCCCGCACACGCTTGAAATGATTGGGAATCTCTACGGCTCCCGTCGCTTCTGCGTGGCAGACGGGCCCTGGAGGTCAAAAGAAAGGGAACAGCTGTCAGGTATCTCACAAGGTTGCCCACTCTCGCCGTTTCTCTTTGTGATTGTTCTGACAGTGCTTGTCAATGACGCGGAGACGTACCTGCAGGACGACGCGGCCCAATCACTGTTGTCCGGAAGCCTCTCGGTACTTGTATGCGCAGACGACACAGTTTTAGTGGGGCGCAACGAGCGGCATCTGCAACAACTCTTGGATTCAATCGCGCGCGCTGGCGCGAACATGGGTATGGAGCTGCATTGGGATAAATTCCAGTTGTTGTACATAAAATGTGACTTGCGTATTACAGATCTTTCTGGCAAGCTCATTACTCCCACCACGCAGATGAAGTTCTTGGGGGCGACATTGCACGACAGTGGAAATATACAGGGAGAGTTGGGCAGGAGGTTCGGTGCTGCATGGGGGGAATTCCAAAGGTATACGCAGGCGTGGAAGCATACATGAATCAGTCTGAAGCTTAAATTGGAAGCGCTTGCAGCTCTCATCACAACTAATAATGTACTCGCTGAGCAGCGCCTGGCTGAACAAAGCCGACAGACGCAGGCTGGACGGTTTCCAAGCCCAGCGTCTTCGTTCAATTTTGGGCATCAAACACCCGTATATGTCAAGAGTTTCAAACAAAACCATATATGAAAAATCTGGCCAAACACCGTACACATCACAGTTAATGGTCAACCAATTGGCGTGGTTCGGAAAAGGATGTCGCAGCAGCGAGGCTGATGCACTGAGGCAGCTGGCTCTCATGCCTAACAGCGCCCGTCTGGCAACGAGCAAAGTCAAACGGTCTCCGGAGAGGCCGCGACATGAATGGGCAAAGTGATTGTACGACAAGGTGGAGGTCTGCTTCCCATCAAAACAACGCCTACTCGAAGCCATCATGGACGAACAAGCTTAGGCAACATTTACATAAACGTATAAGGACTCGTGCCCGTGAGCCCCGGCAGGCCGCTTCTTGCCTTCTCTTTGCATGCATGTTTGCTTTCTGTCTCCTCTTCTCCTCCTCCTCCTCCTCCTCCTCCTGCTCCTCCTCCTCCTGCTCCTCCTCCTCTTCTTCTCCTCCTTTGCAGTATAGGCTGTGCTGTGCTTGTTTTCCCGCCCACGCGCCGGACGGCGTATGGCTTGTGTGTGCGACGGGCACCGTAGCGGGCACGGAACCACCCCAAAATGACCCCCATGGTGTCATGCGCAATCACAAAAGGAGAGTTGCGCAATGAAGAGGAGGAAGGAGGAGGACCACGAAGGCGGAGGAGGGGAAACGAGGGGGGCGCAATGATGAAAGATGACTCGGATCCAGATCAGAGGGCCCGCGCAGGAAACGCCGACCCGAAACTGAGGCCCACGCTACAGCGGGAGCACCATATTGCAGACAAAACCGAAAACACTCGGATAGACTAAGAACACAGAAGACAGATCACTGTTCGTCACCCTGTTCGAAACATATTACGCGGAGAGGGCGGGATGTCTTCCAGATGGGTTCAGGGGAGGGAAGAGAGTAGTAGCTATTTACAATTATTGAGTGATCGTAAGAAGAATTGGGGGAGCATGAGGCGGAGGACGTAGCGGGCACAGGAGGAAGCGGAGAGGAGGAGAGGCGGATGTAAGGAGGAGATGACGAGGAGGAGGACAGAGGAGGAGGAAGAGGAGGAAGGCGGGAGAGGGGAGAATAAGCAGGAGCTGGAGAAGGAGGGATTGGAGGAGCAGAAAGTATTTGTATATGTTCTGCGAAGAAATCCAGGGGAGGTGTGTCCAAGGGGGGTTGCCTGGGGGGGGGGGGTCCTGATCCCTGCGGCGTTGTCCAAGGGATTGTCCGGACCGCGTTGCCTTGTTAATTCGTGCGCATCCTGGGACGCTTGTGGTATGCATCTTGGAGGGGTTGTCTGAGCTGTCGAGCTGTCCGGGGTGTTGTCTGGGTTTTTTTTTTCATAGCTTTTAGGAGAAGGACCGGCGTAAACACAAGGGAGGAGGAGGAGGAGGAACAGGAGGAGGAGGAGGAGGGGGAGGAGGAGGAGCAGGAGGACGAGGAGGAGGAGGATGTTGCATCAACGGTGTTGCAATACATTCTCCCATCCCAAGTCCTAAGTCCCCTCCTGATATTTGCCATTACGGGATGCGCCCCCTTGAACGACATGGGCCTGCCATTCCGGGGAGCGCCACGTTTCGAAAAGCACCGCCCTCCATCTTAAACGTAAAAAGGGGTTGCGAGTGTTGCGCACTTGTCCAAGTCATGTCTTAGCAGTTGCGGGGGCCTCAAGCGAGAGCCCCATGCCGAAAAGGAGCCGCCCTACATCAATGCATGTGTTGTACGATGTTGTGGTCAGAATGTTCGCGGAAGTCCCCAGCAAGAGCCCATAATTGAGCAGGAGACGCCGTCAATTGCAAAGCTCCAGGAAGCATAATGGGCGCGGCGCAGGCTTGTCAGGCAATTGTGCGCGGCGCTAAGGAGGGCTACATTGTGAGAACAACCTGTCATCCATGTAGATGGTGGAAGTGCCCAGCTTTGATATCAAGTTGTCTGCGGCAAGCCCCGCCACCGTACCAGCTCAGCATTCTGGGTGGCGACTGAGCGAGGGGGGCACGGGAGACCGTCATGTGTGACACCTCCTGTCCCCAAGTTCTGGAAAGCCGTGGTAACGATGATGATAATTATGTTGATGATGGTGATGATGCTGATGATGATGATGGTGATGGTGATGGTGATGGTGGTGATGGTGATGGTGATGGTGTTGTTGCTTGTGATGATGTTGATGATCATGGTGGTGATGATGATGAGAACGAGGATGAGGAGGAGGATGTCGGTGATGGTGATGGTGATGACGATGCTGTTGTTCATGGCGATGTTGATGTTGCTGGTGTTGTTGATAACGATGACGGTTTGATGATGACAATGGCGATGACGATAACGATGTTGACGGTCGTTATGATGACGATGATGAGGAGGTGGACGATGACGATGGTGATGGCGATGGTTATGATGGTGATGATGATGGTGGTGGTGAGGATGTTGGTGATTTTGATGTTGATAATAGTGATGATGTTGATGACGATGGTGATGATGAAGATGGTGGTGGTGGTGGGGATGGTGATGGTGGTGGTGATGATGATGACCATCATGGTGGTGGTGATGATCCTTAGTATGGGCCGCTTGGTTATGATGATGGTGATGTTGATAGCGGTGCCGATGGCGACAACGATGATGATAATGTTGCTTATGCTGATTACTACGATGACGTTGATGATGATGCCTATACTGATGATGATGATGATGTGGGTAATGATGATGATGATGTTGATGATGATGATGATGCTGATGATGATAATGATGATGATGGTGATGATGATGATGATGATGATGATGATGATGATGATGATGATGATGGTGATGATGATGATGATGATGATGATGATGATGATGATGATGATGAGAGGGAGGAGGTGAAGCAGGAGAAGGGGAACAGGAAGAGGAAGGCCGCCAAGTGTGACACCCACTTGGGGCTGTCTTCGGTGCTGCCCTGGGCTCCAGTGGTGTAGGCTTGGGAGATCCTCGGGGTCGTCGTGGGGCGCTCTTGTACCGTCTTGGGGCCTTCTTAGGCCGTCGTGGCGCCCTCTTGGGCCGTCTTGGCGTCTTAGGTCGTATGGGGGGGGGTGTTGGGGGCTCCTTGGGGGCGTCGTGCAAGCCAGAGAAAGAGGATCATGGGAAAATCCTCCCATTATCGACGGGGAAATCCCAGATGCTTGCTTCGTCGGGCCTGCGGGGGGCTCCTCGTGGGCTCTCTTGGAGGCAGATTGGGCCATCTTGCGGCCATCTTGGGCCGCCTTGGGGCCATCCAGGGCCGTCTTCGAAGCATCTTGGGCCATTGTGGCGGCCTTGGTGGCTTGCCTAGGGCGTCTTGGAAGCCAGGCTGGGCATCTTGGGCGCCGTGAAGGGCGTCAGAAAGGCGGCGGTCCGCCAGGGAACCTCGGGAGGGGTGGGCGATGCATGCAGATGGACGCCACCAGGAGTGAGGGTCCCTTCCTCGAGTGCAGAAGCCTTCCTGGGCAGCACTTGGCATTCTATCACGCCCCGATGTGCCAGGGGGCACGGCGGCGGATCACGAGCGGCGAGGAAGTGTCAGGGTAAACGCCCAGCCCGCCCTGTCAACGCGCACAGTTGTGCAGCGAGGAAGAGTGTCAGAAAGGAAGGTCGAGGAAGAGGACCAGGAGGAGGAGGAGGAGGAGGAGGAGGAGGAGAAGGAGGAGGAGGAGGAGGAGGGGGAGGGGGAGGAGGGGAGGAAGAGCAGGAGCAGGAGCAGGAGGAGCAGGAGGAGGAGAACAATAGGAAGGGCGATGCGCAGCAGCAGCAGGACATGGCCCACCTGGAGCGCGTGGTCATCCCGACAAACTACCCGCAGTATTGCTCGCGCAAGGCCAGCCCTCCCTCCCCTCCCCTCCTCCTCCTCACCCCTAACCCTCCTCTTCCTCCTCCTCCTCCTCCCCTCCTCCTCCTCCTCCTCCTCCCCTCCTCCTTCCTCCCCTCCCCTCCTCTCCTCCTCCTCCTTCTCCTCCTCCCTCTCCTCCTCCTCTTTCTCCTCCTCCTCCTTCTCGTCCTCCTCCTCCTCACCCTCTTCTCCTTCTCCTCCTCTTCCTCCTCCTCCTCCCCCTCCTCCTCCTCCTCCTCCTCCTCCTCCTCCTCCTCCTCAGAACACCAGCCGCCCCGTCGCGAACGGGGCCCAAGAGGCGGAACACTCCCCAGAGGCCCGCCTTGCGGGCCCCAGGGCACGCACGACGTGCCTTCTGGTCCGCGGCGAGCTTGGCCCAAGTTGCGGACGATCTTGCACAGGGCTGGTGTTGAGCGGATGTCGGCGGCGCGCCCAGGGGTAAGAGTAAGAGTAAGAGTAAGAGTAAGAGTCCCAGAACGATGCCCAATCCATACTCAACAACTCAGCCCCTTTGGGCTCTCTTGGCCTTCTCGGCCTGGCTGTAGGCCTTACGCCACAGACCCCTTCTGAACTCGATCAAGATAGACAGCCCGAGTCGATACACCCACCCCCCAGCGATGTGCCTGGAAGGACCCGAATGAAGAATCTTGAGAGGGAGGAGGGCTTCTCAGAAGGCGGCGGGGCTTCTTGGAAGCCCCGCTGGCCTTCCGAGAAGTGCTCTGCGTCTTGTCGGGGGAGGTTCAGAACAGATTTCGGAAGACGGGAGGACTACCGAGCCTTCTGAGGAGGCCTTCTCCTTCTCACTTCCCACCCTGGCGCGCCGCCGAAAGTACCCACGAGAGGCCGCCCCACCACCGGGCGCCTCATCGTCACTATTTTTCTGCAATGTTACCTGACAGCTTGGTCTGATAGGTTTCTAGTGGTGTCAAAAGAGAGCAGCAGATGACTCCACAGGGGGGTCTGGGCGGGTGCCGGACAGGGTGCCGCAGAAGTCGTTTTAAGCCAACAGTCACACACTTCGTGCTCTTCGACCTCCCAGAACTCCATTTCCGGGCCACATTCTGAATGCCCGGAGCCAACTGTAGGCCACTTCGTGCTCTTCGACGTCCCAGAACTCCATTCCCGGGCCACATTTTGAATGCCCGGAGCCAACTGTAGGCCACTTCGTGCTCTTCGAGTTCCCAGAACTCCATTCCCGGGCCACATTTTGAATGCCCGGAGCCAACTGTAGGCCACTTCGTGTCTTCGAGTTCCCAGAACTCCATTCCCGGGCCACATTTTGATGCCCGGAGCCACTGTAGGCCACTTCGTGGTCTTCGAGTTCCCAGAACTCCATTCCCGGGCCACATTTTGATGCCCGGAGCCAACTGTAGGCCACTTCGTGCTCTTCAAGTTCCCAGAACTCCATTCCTGGGCATGATTTTGAATGCCCGGAGCCAACTGTAGGCCACTTCGTGTTCTTTAGTTCCCCCAAAACTCCATTCCTGGGCCACATTTTGAATGCTGAGGCAGGCTGATGCTGCGGCCGAGGCAGCTGAGGCTGAGGCAGGCTGAGGCTGAGGCCGAGGCTGAAGGCAGACTGAGGCTGAGGCTGAAGCAGACTGAGGCTGAGGCTGAGGCAGGCTGAGGCTGAGGCTGAAGCAGGCTGATGCTGAGGCAGGCTGAGGCTGAGGCTGAGGCTGATGCAGGCTGAGGCTGAGGCAGGCTGAGGCTGAGGCCGAGGCTGAAGGCAGACTGAGGCTGAGGCTGCAAGGCTGAGGCTGAGGCTGAGGCTGAGGCTGAGGCTGAGGCTGAGGCAGGCTGAGGCTGAGGCTGTGACTGCGACTGCCGTTGCCGCTGCGACTGTCATCGCGAATGCGACTACGACTGCGAGAACAGCAGAATTCTACAACTGGATTTTCATCTGAATCTTAAGGGGAATGCTTCCAGATATGTTTCTACACATCGCTGTTAGGTTGCTTTGCCGGGATAATTTAAATTTTCGCCAAACAATCCGCCGGCAGGAGTACATGCCCGACCTACAGTGCCGTTTTTAATACATGCTCCGCGTGCGGATCATGCACTAAAAACGCAGGGATTTTGGATCAAAAACAACGATGAGTTTACGCATAGATTTATTCATAAATTCATCATGCATTTAAAATCTTATAGTTCAGAAAATCCGGTGTATTAAAAACTGCCTTGTAACACCATGTGCGACGCCGGCCCAATCGTTCCAGGCCTCTCGGATGGGTTCGGAGCAGGCGGGTTCGGAGGATTTCGCGGGACGCATCGCCGAGGCACGTCCTCCTGTTGATGCCAAAGACATGTTGTTACCTAACAGCTTGTTCTGATAGGTTTCTAATAGGGTCAAAAGAGAGCAGCAGATGACTCCACAGGGGGGTCTGGGCGGGTGCAGGACAGGGTGCCGCAGAAGTCGTTTTAAGCCAACAGTCACACACACTTCGTGCTCTTCGACCTCCCAGAACTCCATTCCCGGGCCACATTCTGAATGCCCGGAGCCAACTGTAGGCCACTTCGTGGTCTTCGATTTCCCAGAACTCCATTCCCGGGCCACATTTTGAATGCCCGGAGCCAACTGTAGGCCACTTCGTGGTCTTCGAGTTCCCAGAACTCCATTCCCGGGCCACATTTTGATGCCCGGAGCCAACCGTAGGCCACTTCGTGCTCTTTGAGTTCCCAGAACTCCATTCCCGGGCCACATTTTGAATGCCCGAGCAACTGTAGGCCACTTCGTGTTCTTGTAGAACTTTACTCCTGGGCCACATTTCGAATGCTGAGGCAGGCTGATGCTGCGGCCGAGGCAGGCTGAGGCCGAGGCTGAAGGCAGACTGAGGCTGAGGCTGAAGCACTGAGGCTGCAGGCTGAGGCTGAGGCTGAGGCTGAGGCAGGCTGATGCTGAGGCAGGCTGAGGCTGAGGCTGAGGCTGATGCAGGCTGAGGCTGAGGCAGGCTGAGGCTGAGGCCGAGGCTGAAGGCAGACTGAGGCTGAGGCTGAAGCAGGCTGAGGCTGAGGCTGAGGCAGGCTGAGGCTGAGGCTGAGGCAGGCTGAGGCTGAGGCAGGCTGAGGCTGAGGCTGAGGCAGGCTGAGGCTGAGGCTGTGACTGCGACTAGCCGTTGCCGCTGCGACTGTCATCGCGAATGCGACTACGACTGCGAGAACAGCAGAATTCTACAACTGGATTTTCATCTGAATCTTAAGGGGAATGCTTTCAGATATGCTTCTACACATCGCTGTTAGGTTGCTTTGCCGGGATATTTTCTTGTTGCTGTTTTTTGTTACCTAACAGCTTGTTCTGATAGGTTTCTAGTGGTGTCAAAAGAGAGCAGCAGATGACTCCACAGGGGGGTCTGGGCGGGTGCCGGACAGGGTGCCGCAGAAGTCGTTTTAAGCCAACAGTCACACACTTCGTGCTCTTCGACCTCCCAGAACTCCATTCCCGGGCCACATTCTCGGGCCGCCAACAGTACCACTTCGTGTCTTCGAGTTCCAGAACTCCATTCCCGGGCACATTTTGATGCCCGGAGCCAACTGTAGGCCACTTCGTGCTCTTCGAGTTCCCAGAACTCCATTCCCGGGCCACATTTTGGATGCCCGGAGCCAACTGTAGGCCACTTCGTGGTCTTCGATTCCCAGAACTCCATTCCCGGGCCACATTTTGAATGCCCGGAGCCAACTGTAGGCCACTTCGTGCTCTTCGAGTTCCCAGAACTCCATTCCCGGGCCACATTTTGAATGCCCGTAGCCAACTGTAGGCAACTTCGTGCTCTTCGACTTCCCAGAACTCCCATTCCTGGGCCACATTTTCAGCAGGGGCAAGAGCACGACGAGGAGGAGGACGAGCAAGACCAGGAGGACGAGGACGAGCAGGAGCAGGACGAGGAGCAGGAGGAGCAGGAGAAGAAGGACGAGCAGGAGGAGGAGGAGGACGAGCAGGAGGAGGAGGACGACCAGGAGGAGGAGGACGACCAGGAAGAGGAGGAGGAGGAGGAGGAGGAGGAGTAGGAGCAGGGGAGAGGGGAGGACTACCAAAGGAAGGAGGAGGAGGAGGAGAGGAGGAGGAAGAGGAGGAGTAGGAGAGGACGAGGAGGCGGAGGAGAGAGGGGGGGGTAAGCACCAGGAGGAGCGAACGAGGACCAACCCCAGGAGGAGGGAGGGATGAGAGGAGGAGGAGGAGGAGAGAGGAGAGAACACAGGAGAGGAGAACGAGCAAGACGAGGAGACGAGAACGAGGACGACCAGAAGAGAATGCGGAAGGGGAGAGGTGAGGAGGAGGGGGAGGACTCCAAGGAGGAGGAAAAAAAAAGGAGGAGGGGAGGGGGAGGACTACCAGGAGGAGGAGGAGGAGGAGGAGGAGGAGGAGGAGGAAGAGGAGGAGGAGGACGAGGAGGAGGAGGAGGAGGACGAGGAGGAGGAGGGGGGGGAGAGCACCAGGAGGAGGAGAACGAGGACCACCAGGAGGAGGAGGAGGAGGAGGAGGAGGAGGAGGAGAGAGCACCAGGAGGAGGAGGACGAGCAAGACGAGGAGGACGAGAACGAGGACGAGCAGGAGGAAGAGGAGGAGGAGGAGGAAGAGGAGGAGGAGGAGGAGGAGGAGCAGGAGAAAGAGGAGGAGGAGGAGGAGCAGGAGAAAGAGGACGAGCAGGAGGAGCACGAGGACGAGCAGGAGGAAGAGGAGGAGGACGAGCAGGAGGGGAAGGCGGCCGGCTGCCCCGGCCGGCTGCCCCGACCGGCCGCGCTTGCGCCCGGCCGCGGAGCGCGGTCAAGGGAAGGGGGCGGGGGCGGGCGGTCAAGGTTGATACCCCCTCCTCGCTCGTTCCACTGCCTGCTCGCAGCAGTGGCACCAGCACATGCACAAGAGATTCCTGCATGAACTGTTGTACTTGCATATCTGATGGCCTTCGGCCAAGGTCGTGCGCACCAGGGCTCTGAGGAAGGCTCCCTGCGCCCTTCTGGGGAGCCCCTCTGGGGAGCCCCTCGGACGAATT